AAAAGTATTAGCGAGGGCCACAGAACGTACAACGGGCAACGGCTAGATCCTCACATACCACACATAAAGCTCCATGTGGAAGACTGCACTCTTCAATGCCGCATTCAAGGAGAGTTGGTCTAATGGTAGACCAATTCAAATCTTCGACAACTTTTCTTCTTTCGTAGGAAGAAAGACAAGATCTTTGTTCGTCTGTTGCCGGGACGTCAAATGCAGAAAGTTGTTTATCGTCACTTGAGCCAAAAGAATAGCTTTGAGAAGGCTTTGCTGTATTGGAATCAAGTGCCAGGCTAATATTTTCTTTTTTAACTCCCTTTCGGGTAACAAATTTGATATCAAGGGATAAGAGTCTTAAACGAGGTCTTTTTCGTGATTGCGACGCCATGTTTTTTAGTAGCACCACAAAGTAGGCCGAGACACATATTTTCTTGCGTTTTGATTGGTCAAATGAACAAAAGATAGTTTATGACGTAGAAGATTTGCGAACGAGATTACAACACTCTATTGGCTCAGCCCGTAATTTTAAATTTATAAATATGGGTTCAGCCCATTTAATCTGAGCGAATCGGGTGGCTAAATGGCATGGCTCATCAGTCAAAATACGTAGAGAGAACCGAGTTACCAAAAAATTTCACATTTATAGTTGGCATTTAGAAGATGAATGCTTTATTAAGCCACTGGCATGACAGAAAATTTATTCGAAGCCGATATCTTTGCAGTCCAAATTTTTTTAAATACTGTCCACACTATGCAAGGAGGGTCTCAGTAAAACACTGCATGCGAAGGCTCTAATAGTCTATGTGTACGGCAGTCAATTTCGTTCTGTAGTTCTCAAGTATGTTAAAAAGGGTTGTTCAAATCTTAACTATCCTATCTTCGTTCAGAAATAGAAAACGAAGAGCTTTTATACACTTCGTGACCAGCATAAAAGACCATAAACATTACCAAAACTTTCATGGAATATGACTTAGTAAAGTTCTTCTGTATCACTTATTGTTTTTTAACAAACATAGGATAGTTTGATTCAAGTTTTTTAAATTACCAAAAGTCGACTGCCGTAATCAAAGGTTTACAATGCTTACGTTTATTATGCCTTACTAACGGTTACTCCGTTTCTATCTCTGTAGCTTTTTTAAGGTAAAAGCGAACTTTGTGGCATAGATACTGGCTTCAAACAAACCCCCCTATTCTCCATTTGGCTTAAAGAAGTATTTAGCTTTGAAATTATTGCTACAAATATAAGAAATTGTGTTACTTGGAGTGTTCTTTCTCAGTGGCTTTTCTGCAGCAAATTACGAACTTTGTTCGATGACAAATGCCGATCGCATTCCTTGCCTTCTATCTCCAAAACTCTTTCCGTACATCCAAAAGATAAATAGTGTTTGAATATAGTTAGAAATACTACAAAATACTTTGTATATCAAAGATGTCTATCAAAATGTACTGATCTCTCGAATATTTGTAGTATATTTCTTAGCAAATTATCCGAAGCTTGACCCGATAGTCTCGTTTTGATGCAACGTTCATCACGATACCGCTGGTTTGTTGAGGTGGCGTGCTCATCTACGATAAGAGCTATAATGTAGCTTAGATAAGGCAGGAATTGTTTTTCTAAGCATTATCTTCTATTTCTGTCTGGTTTTTCTTCTCAGTGTTCGCAAAATTTTTTCTACTTGAATTCTGGACGGTTCTCTGTCTCTACGAGGCACGTGTGGACAAAGTGGATGTATATTTCTAACACGAGATCTGTAATTGCATGCAATTGTTGGACTTTTTTTGAAGAATTATCAACATAAATTAAGTCATAACAGTTACTTATCACTAGCTTTCATTGTCCTACGGATGAAAGGTACTATTCTTTTGAAATATAATGGCCTTTTATTGATTCTCCCTACGGCTTTATTAATCCGGTTAATAGAGGGAATCATTCTGTAGTGCTCAAAATTTGTCTTACCAGATCGAGTTATCCGGCAATGGGGCTCAATATTCCTCTTTCGAGGCTCAGTTATCTCGCAATGGGGCCGATATATTCCTCCAACAGAAATTCGTCTTTGGACTATCGTGTTTTGCTTCTGCAAACGGTTCGGCTGCTTTCTCGATTGATCTCGGCGTAAACGTCGCTTTATAACGAGCTTAAAACCTGGAAAACCTTTCATTTCTCTGCTTGCAAATAGACGCTTACAACACGTTGCCCTCTGCAACCGACTAACTAACCCTGTGGTGACATCGGCAAAACGACGTAACGAGTGACGACATTCGTCTATCGCCATTCTCCATCGTGATTGGTTCCGAAGTCTATGTATTGTTCTCAAAGTAGTTCGCGAGAGGATCCGACTAGGTATTCACCGTTTCGTTTTGACGAGAGATCAGCACTCGGGGATCCCGATTGGTTAGTACAGTAAATTGATTTAGTTCCTTGGGGTTCCTTACTCACGGACACTACACGATAGCATAGTGGCTTCTTCGCCTAGGCGACAGTAGCCACAAAAATCAACCTATCTGCATCTGCATCTGATATATCTGTTCTTAGAAGGGGATGAACACCAACCTACATGTTAATCGAGAAGGTCACTAGAAACCTTGCGTGCTCAGTTAGATGCTGCGCCGAACCTCATGCTAAGAGTTCCAAAACTACTGATATTGAAAACAAAAGGCTTAACGTAGTTCTTAAATTCATCTCTTACTGTAGAGTATGCTATCCCCTTACTAGAGTGAAAATACTCGTAGGACCTGCACTTGATGATGCGCCTTATAGGGGGAACTTTAGGAGGTGATCAATACGGTAACTTAGCTAATAATTTCTCTGTAGCCGCAAAGTCAGATTACGTGTTGTTGCCAACAAGGAAAAATAACCTTGCCTATACTGGTCGTTTTTGCGTTTTTACACATGAATAACCATATGATCGGAAGTAATTTCAGTATCATCTAACGTGAAAGCTAAGTTACGTTCTAATTCAATTCGTTCAAACGAACGTATATTATTTACCTTTTATATTAAGAACAGAACAGACTGAGAAAGATATATGGTAGGTTGGTTTGCGGACCCAACAAATCAGTGAAAATTTCAAAGAAAAAATAAGGATGTACTAGAGGTAGAAAGCTTACAATATTGGAAATAAAATCAACTGAAAACTTAACCATCTTACCACGAAAAAGACGCTGACCCACGTCGTTATCTAAAGACGGTATCTCCATAACTTGGGTTTTGTTTCCTCGGCTTACTTTTACGAGAGACAGCTTCCTTGAACTTTCGAAGTCGCTTATCATCAGCGGAATCAGAATCATTAGCATTAAACAACAATTCCGTTATTGGTTTCCGCACAAATTGGGGGTGGCTAAAAGAAGATTTGTTGTTCTGTAAATAACAGGGGCCTGGGCCCAGTTGCATAAGATAAAAAAGCTTAAAAACACTCGTAAGTATTGTCTTAGTACAATTGCCTATTGTTTTGGAACAATACTTACGGATGCTCTTATCTTAAGAGAGCGTTATGCAACCGGGGCCCTGGATAACCCGCAAAAGGAATCCTATAACCTTCCCCTTTAGATCTTAAAACGAGCAGCACCTCGATATTGTGATTACGTGTAACACTAAAGAGAATTCCAAAGTGTAGTACTGGTAAAATCCAACATGCTAACATATCATGCCATGTGATATGATATGTTTGCCTATAAATTACAAAAATGGGTTTATTGAGAATGAATGAATCGCATATGCTAACAAATAAAAGTAGTAAATTCAATATCTCTTTGACAATAAGCTGAGAATGACTGAATCTTATGTAGATTATGATGCGCTATGACCATCAAACGTTTAATTCTAAAAGAGATATTGATTTTGATTATTAGACTTTTTACAATGATCCTTCATAGTTACGTCACCATTTCGTGAATTCTATATTGAATATCGCGGCAACGAAAACACTAAGATGTCATAACAAAAGTAAAAGCCATTCTTGTATTTATATTTAATGGCTTTGAAATCAGGAAGAGAGCCTGTAGGCTTGATAGGCAAGTGGAAGTAAATGCACTCTACCATTCACTTTCCTGACTTGAATTACTGCCATTAGAGTTTAGGTGCGTCTGTGACTTAATTTACAAAGATATAAAGAAAGTATAGGTCTCTATGTAGACAGGCTCCTCAGTTTAAAATTGATTAAGAAGAAAGAAAGGTTTATTACATGTAAATTGGTTTCTTATATTCAAAGTACTAGAGTACATGACATTAATTCACTGTCAAAACATCAAAGTAGTGAAACATATATAGCCCTTCATTTCAAAAAGAAAGGAAAGAAAAAATAGCTTTTACTTAATTTTCTCCATTTGCTCTTGTCGTTTTTTGACATCAAAAAAAATCCCTCTGCCTCGTTCTCTCTTTCCCTTGTAACATATCCAACACAATCGAATGTATAATTTGTCAAACTAATAAACTGATCTTCCGTTCTAAATTAACAGATTTCGCCTTCAAACTCTTGGCTATCTGTTGTCAACTGTGAATTCGACGGTTGGCTGTCCTGCTCAGAGGCCATTGATGCACATTGAGATAAATTTTCCATGTTTCGAAGAGAAGCGATGTATGTAGAAGCAATGCCAAGAAATAGACTAACTTTCATCTTCCCCTTTCGTAAGGCCATGCGAAGCATGACATCATTCTTGATAAAACAATAGGGCTTTTATCAAACAATGGGTAGTTATTCCGCATATCGGCGACCGAACTTGAGAAACCTCTCACTAGGAAATCTCTCTGAATGGGAAGTTAAACCAAAAACTAATCAATACACCGATCCCTCAAGCTCCGCCCCTTCATAGCAACGCATAGCAACCAGGCAACCTCGGACATTAAATCCAATATGGCGGTTCCTGGCGTTACATCGATGAATGCATTACCCAAAGATTTTGGATTAAATTTCTTCGGATCACGACCTCTCATGTTAAGATCTAAGGAGAGAGGATATAACTATTTCCTAAACAGTTATGTCTTTGATGTCAAATTGCAAACATCTGAAGAAAAACATTACCAATCGATGCGCAAAAATTAAACACCACACAAACTCCATATGGATATTTCTACAGAGGAACGTCGTTTTACAGATTGTAATTGCGTTTGCGTGGCAGGGTAAGCATGTATCTCTTCATCTTCTTTATAACTTAAAAGTGAGATCATCAGATTCTAATGTGGCATCTCTTTTTAGTATGTCTGGAACGTGTTCCCATATTCTTGCATTGGTTTTCACGTTGATACACTACCAGCAAAAAGGACTGAAGGAAGTACCGACTTCCTTGTCTTGTACTAGTTTACCCCAGCAATGGCATAGGCCCAGAGGAACCAAAATTAAACCCCGACCTGTCGTTAATATGATCTTGGCTAAGGCAAAACGCTATGCGACAGGAAAAAAAAGGCCTGTATTCACCAAAACAACAAAACAAAGGTAAACTGATCAACACAAAGATAAAATCTTTATTTTCGTCAGCAGTTATATTTACACTTCTTATTATTTTTGGTTATTTTATTCAGATTTTATTGCTTACCTTTGAACATATATATGTGTCCTTCGTAATTTTCTGGATGTTAAAATCGCTGTGAGGCCTTCCACAAGCTTTAATCCAACGAAGGCAGTCTTCATGCCTTGTTTTGGGTTTTGGGAAGGGGAAAAACACGATGGATATATCACTTTTCCCTGAATCAGATTTACAAGTACCATAGCAGCAGTGCTTGACCATACCTCTAGTTATTTTTCGGAACTTAAAAACTTTCAATAGCAAGCCTCAAAGCAATATTTACTGAAAATATTACTCAGATATCAAAGGTATCAACCTCCACAGACCTTAATAACTTGTCCGACAAAATGGCGTCGTCTCAAACCGGAACTGGCGTTTTCAAAGTTTGACTTCTGATTGGCTACTTTTATTACGGAGATTGACAAGCGGGATCGGTGTATTTACAAAAGGAGTCAATCATGTATCAGCAAGAACGAGGCGTGAAAATTTGGTCTAAGAAGCCATTTCAGCGTATCCAAAGTTTCAGAATTTTACCGCGAACATATTATAATTTGATGCATGTTGGTGTTTTAATGACATAATTTTAATAAAATGCGTCAGGGTAGTGTTTGGTCTGGGTTAATGAAACTGTAATCATGTAATGATTGATGCTTAAATAAGTTTTAAATCAATCCATCCGGATGAAATTCGTTTGCTGATTGTAAGGAAGAAAGCGATAAATCTTGCAATGCAAGAACCGCAACAACCGGAAAAAGCGTATCCTTCCTTTTCTGTTAACGGAGTCGGAAACTGAGCGTACGCAGACTCAGTAGTGTACCRCTCAACAGTGATTTCCTGTGTATTTTACTGACATCGTCAGTGAAAGCTCTCGCTTTTTTACATGATTTTCATGGTTTTTCCGGAGTTTTAAAGTTAAAGTAGTTTTGTTTAAAAAAACATGATTAAATAATCATAATAGTATAAGACAAACCGCTAAAGACAAAAGCGAAATAAGACAAACACGCCGGGTCAGCTGTTGTTATTTTTATATCATTTAGCCCCCGCGATCAATATCGTAATAGTCAGCGGATTACCTTTTAAAACAAAATGGCAGACTCGCATGACTCCCGTGTTTTTAGTGTTGAAGAGGTTATAAATGAAGCAATTTACGAAGATAGAAGCAGCGATGAAGAAGAAAGTGGTCCAGTGCCAAGTCTTGAAGATGCAATTAAACATTCTTTGGCAAATTTTTACCCGTTGAGGCACCAAATGGTGAATTACACTCGATTTCGTGAAGAAGCTGAAAGGTGTTTGGATAACTTATTCCAACGCCACGAGATTTCAAATCGTAATGATGCTGAAAAGGTTCTTTCAGGCTCCACTAATCTTCGGCCGATGGTTAATTTGGAGGTGCAGCTCTGGATTAAGAACATCAAGAGGAGAATGCGTGCAAACCCATCACCGAGAAATCCATGGACCGTTGAGTTCAAGTGCGATCTCCCCGAAGAAGTGTTTAAAAGCATTAGAAATGCTGTTGCGGGAGGAGCATCCACTTTTGGGATTGTTTTGGACCAAAATGTGATAACATTTACTGAAAAGAAACGTTTGATACGAGACTTGTCTAAATTGGCTTTGCTCACGCGAAGTGAAGTAAGGAATCTGCTAAAGAAGTCTTTCAAGCTAAAGAAATTCATAACAGAAAATGACCCTTTTGTTATAAGCTTCCATGCAATCCATTGATTTCAAAAACCGTACCTTTCAAATCTTCAATTCGTTTACACAGCTCTAAAATATATTTGTGCACAATTTCTGATGTTTCTTCACAGTTGGCACCGAATATTAAAAAATTATCGCTGCTTAGAAGCAACCCTTTTCCCTGCATTAATGAAACTAGCTAAAAATGAACATGCTGTCTCATGTTTGCCAAATGGGCAACCATCTCCCCCTAGGGCAACTATGAAAGTTCCCTCCGTCTCCCCAAACCATTGAAGTGATTTTTTGCGAGAGGTTTGTGTTTTTAAATAGGAGGCTAGCCTCGGAAGAAAGTTCCTAAGATCCCTATAGCACCCACTGACTTGCTCATCAGAATCAGGTGATGTAAATTTATCTTTCACAGAAAGAACTGACCCCACATCAATGTTGTTAACCTCATCAATAAGGGCTTTGTAGGTAAGCAATTTGGGTATTGGGCACTTTGGCAAAAAATTAATGGCTGTTCTCCCTCCCCTTTTTTTGGCACTAGCCTTCAACGTGGATGCTAATCGAACAGTCTGACACTTGCGTTTACCCATAACACCTGCACTGTAATATGTTGCAATGCTTCTAGTGATGTTAACTGGGGATTTATAAAATTCCTGCTGTTGTTTCCTTTGGACTTCATTGACTACATATTCTGTTACTTTGCTGTTGGAGAGCACATAATAACCTAACTCATTAATCTTACACCTTTTTTGAAGGGTATCAAAAAGACCATCAAGTGCAGGCCTTTTATTAGTTGAAGTGGCACCATGTATTATCGATGCTGCCTGAATGGTCTCCTTTACTCTTCTGGCTGAAGTGGCTGGTTTATTGATACCTTCAATGCTAGTTGGTATAGATCTGGTTTTCTGCTGTTAGAATAAAAAAGGATAGATGGATAAAATTACAATTAAAGAGTAGTTTGAGGCAAAATTAGTAACTAACCTGTTTATTTTCTTTTCCTAAAATTCCAGGCAAATCTCCAAAGCTCTCTTTCAATTTTTTCTCCTTGAAATAAATAAATTGCATATACAAACTTTAAGATCAGAC